CAGGTACAGGCCCTGTCACACCAGCTCCTGCTCTCGCCAGCTCTGCCTTGCCCAGCAGCAACGCTGCCACCTCCAACTAAATTTGACTGGAACGTAAGGGGGGGCTCTGACCGCACCAGCCAGGACGGCCTGCAAACCCCACTGCCTAGTTCTGTCCCCCAGGGTTCCCCCAACAGCCAGAGACTGCAAACAAGGGACTGATGCTTCTCATGGGCACCCTGGTGGTACCAAAGCCTGAGAGGTCTCCACAGGTGGTATGTCAATATGGGATGGGCCAAGAAGACGACAGGCCCCTGGGGTACTCCACCTGTAAGGAGCCCGACAGCAAAAATGCCGTTTCCCATCACTGCCCTTTGGGTACAGCTGCCAAAAAGGACTTCAGATCTCTTTAGAGAATTGTCCCAGGCTCCTCCTGCCACAGCGTGGCACCTGCCTCCAGTGTGTGGCTGTGGTGGACAGTAATGAATGCCACAGGGAGCAATCTCGCTTCTCCACTGTTCAAGAAAAAGGCATGAGACTACTCATCTGTGGATAAGAAGAAAGCACTCCTCAAGATGACTGAACTCTGCTTCTCCTCCAAATCCCAGCCAGGAGCTTTGCAGCCTGCTGGGCAAGGGGACAGGGGACTAATGAGCACGAGAGGGATTTCAGACACCCCCACGGCTGCAGAGAAATGCCCAGCCTCATGGACAATGCTTCTAGAGGATCTTGGTGCCATGGGGACACATTCGGTGTTCCTCTTCATTCAGATGCCCAGAAGGTCCCTTGATGTGGGCTAGGTCAGCAAGCCTGCAGGGCATTCCTCCCCCATCCAAGCTGGGGATCAGATATCCAAGCTGGGACATTTGGGGTTCAGGAGCCAGAACCCCACCCTTGGACAGTGCAAGCTGGGATCTCCTGAAATGCTTCCTCCTGCATCACTGGAAGTATCAGGAGTGAAGATGATACCCAACTGATTCCCTTCAGCAAACCACAGAGCCCTTCTCAGGGTTAAGGGGGCTGCTTTTCGAGCCCAGAAACGTCCAGGAAAAGCAGCTTTCCCAGAGAAACTAGACAGGGATGACTTGGAATCAAAGAAGTCTGAGGCAATGCTGAGGGTAGAAGAAAATACTTCAAACACATGGGAATTGCTCTTTGTAGAGAGGAATGGCACTCACATCTCTGAGACTGTGGATTTTTCTTCAATTTTTGCTGCTTCTGGGTATCAGAACAAATACATACACACACACACACACTCTCACACCCCAAACTCTATCCTTCTTTTAACCTCTGAATGGCCCGAAAATAGCCCTTTATCCAGCCAGGTGTAGAAGTGACCAAGTAACAGTCCCCCACGTGACATTACCACCTCTCTCGGGTCAGATTGTTCCACTGCCTTTACATCCTTCAGGATTGCCATGGTATATTGCAACCAGAAATGAAGCCACTGACCCTGATAAAAAGCACAGCAGCCTTTGTGCTGAGCAATACAGGATGTTCCTCCCTTGCTCTGTTTCTCTGCCATCAGCCTCCAGTCCCCAGATGTAGTCATCCATCAGCAATCATCCCCACCACATGCCTAACATATTGGGATTTTTTTGTTTTAAACAAACATCCCACAGAATGGAGGAAGGAAAGGCATGCAGAGAGCTTCTTGTGTTCAGGTGGAGCAAGGGGAAAGGTACCCCCCCCTTGCAGATGTGATGATGAAAAGCAGCCAAAACCAAGCATCTGTTTGCAGCCAGCCAGATGCAGTGCAGACTGAGAAGTGACGCTACCTTATAGCAGCAGAAAGGTAGGTCAACACAGTTTTTACCACTGTGCCCCTTTTTGGCATCAAACTACCTTCATCCCTGATGCTTTCTTTAATAAAAGGTTTAGAGCAGGGAGCAGAGCACCCACCTTCACTAGATTTATGCCAGCAGAGAGCTACTGTGCACACAACTCTCTACTGACTACATCCAGCTGCCTCAGGTGGGCCAATAGGGCCTGGGCTTTATTTAAGTCTGGTCTCCCACTGTGACAAAGAATATTTTGGACACAACTCAAGCTTCCATCTTAGCTAGCTGTTGTGCATCCAGCAGTCAAACCATCTGAGAAACCTACCTCATAGCAAAAGGTGGAGACAACTGCTCTATCTAAAGCTTCCACTCCTGGGGGAAGGTGAACATTCATATCCCTGCTCGTCTCCCAAGGCTGGGGAAGAAGAAACCTTCTGGCATGTCTGCTGCTGTAAAATGAAAAGAGATCAGGAAGGAGGCAGGCAGCTCCTGCCTGATTCCAGCTTCCCTCACTCCTCCACCCAGAGCAAGAGCAGCTCCTCTTTCAGGGGATGAAACTATCGCAAGAAATTAAGGCAATGGATTTTTACAAAAGGATCAGAAGAGGGGAGCAAAAGAGGAAGTATTGGAATGAAAGGCAGGAAGAAAGCAGAGATGATTTACAAAGCCAGCCATAGGGAACCTCACTGCTGGAGTATGTGACTGTGCTGGGAAGTGTCACACGAATCTGCTGGGAGACCTCCATGCTGTAGTTCAGATAAGAAACTGAACATTTGGTTTGTATCTGAATGGATCCTGAACTTCATAGCCTTTGAGATCTTGCCAATCTCTCCCTCTATGCGTGTTTTTCCAATGTGGCAGCTGATTTTGCTTTATGCATTTGCAACAACAGGTTGTGAATCAACATTGTGGAATGATGCAATATCACATGGGACCATGGGAACTTTTGGGTTCAGGTCTCTATATTTTAGGGACTAAAGACGACTGCTAAGAAAAGCCTAGAAATTGAACCAGTTTCAAGGTTCTACTTATTAAGCCATTTCTATAAAAGTCACAAAATATATCAAGCTAACTGCATTTAAAATCCTCCAGCTGTCATCCATCATACAGCTTATTTGAAAAGCCATCCCCTGCAATGTTGTTGTATTTTTCCTTCCATCCCAGTGTTTGCATTTATGGAACTGATGCTTGCTGAGGAGCTGATTGTTGGAAACACTCCCTCCCTAACAGGGAGTCATGAAAGGTTGGCGCTTGGCTTAGTGAAAATAAGAAGTGCTGAGGGTCTGCACTGAATACAAATAAAAAATTACAGGCTGCAATATTTCAAATTAACATCCTGATGCCTCACATTATTCTTCAGAAAAGCACAGTCCTCCCTTTGATCTCAGGATTACAGGCAGCTGGGGTCTGATTTGTAGCTATGCAAAGAACCTGCTGCACTACACCGGCAGTAGGCACAGATCTTAAAATAAAACCCAAAGTACACAGGCACTCATTTGCAGACCTCTGCCACCACAGTAGAGCGAGATTGTCATTTTGGGACATCAGTGGGTGAATTGGGCCTCTGCAGTCAAGTAAGGGCACATCGCAAAGTCTGGTCTCTCTAAAATCCAGAATTTGTCTAAGGAATGATTTCTCTTTTCATTCCCATCCGATTAATCCCCGACTGAGCTCTTCAGGCTCATTCCCACTTACAGGACAAGCAGGACAACAACAATCACTTCTATCCTTTTGAAATGAGTTCTTGATGGCAACTTTAAACTAAGTGCTGATTTGTTCCACATAATTATTAAATTCTTCTGCAGCATAATACAGCTCTCCCCAACTTCAAATGATTTTGAAACTTCTGGGAAATTGTCTAACAGTTGATGGCATTTTTTATATATATATATATACTGACAAAATACAACTTTAAGAACGGTATATTGTAGTTTTTTTAATTCACAGATATCTAACTGTATCTACCTTAATTTTTAAGACAGAGGATGCAGAGTAGAAACATTATTGCCTTATTTGCAATCCTACCTAAATACTGGAAGAGGTATTAAATTAATCGTGCCTTTTCAAAACCAAGTGCTAGGTCTTCAGAAAGTGCATAGTACCTGGAAGTCCTGACATTTCAGTAGGGATGCAGAACGCTGCACTTCTGGAAATGAGGGCCAAGATGGTCACACAGAAGGGAAGCAATTACAGCCAAGATTCGAAATCTGAAACGCTCAAGATGTCGCTTTTGAAATTCAACATACTTCTTCAATTAAATATTGAATAGCTGTGACTATAAAATGCCTATGCAGATCTCAAAGTAAAGTATTATGCTCTCTGGTGAAAGAGCGTGTCAAGGCCAGAGTCAACAGAAGGCAGCTGCTCCAATGCAGGTTGTCACAGCTAATCACGTAGATCACCCCTCTGCTTTCTGTGTTGCAGGAAAGAATACACCTACTGCTGTATGAAGAGGCAGACTGCTGAAAATAGAAGTTTACGTACAAATTTGTGAAGTAATAGCAGTGAGTAATTTCTACTTTGGCAGATCCAGAATGCCTTTTCTTATGAAAATCAAAACGAAATACATTCTTGACTCCCGAACAGCCCTAGATCATGTTTTTATACATGTACATAATGATAAGGCAAAACAGACACTAAAAACATATCCTGGTAATAAATACTTTAAGACTTCATTAGAAACCCAAAAGGTCACATCTGATACATGAAAAAGTAAAATTATCTAGGCTGACATTTACAACTAATTTGAACTGACATTAGCATGAAAAATACTATTTTACTGCAAGAGGTAGTCTTACTTATAAGTTTAAATGTGCCTTTTAAGCATTAATGCTGAAAACAAAGCCCTGAAAAATATCTGCAGCCGTGCCAATTACATTTTGGTATCTTATAGCAAAGCAACACAAAGCAGACAATTAGCAGAAGATTTCAGCCCCTCATTAGCAAGTAGAACTTAATAGTAAGAGAAAAAAAAAGAAGCCACCATATGAGCTCTGATGAGCAGATTATGGGCTCGATCCAGCTGTGAGATATTCAGGCACCTATTACCATGCAACCAGCTTATCCATGGATGTAAGCAAATACCATGAGCCGATTTTGCAACGCACACAGTGATGAACCCGAGCATCCATGCATCTCTCAAGGCAATAACAGAGCCCTCTGCCTGCCTGCTCACTCGCTGTCACTAGGAAAGAGAGACACATTTTGCAGAAAGCAGCCGATTTTTTTTTGTGGACTTACTTTAACTGTCGAGGTTCGCAGTCAACTCCTGGCAATAAGAGCCTCGCTGCCTGCCGTACGTCATCGCTGTCCACCGAGAAACTGCGACGGTGCCCTGCGTGAGCCACGGCAACCCGTATCCACTCCATCAGGGGAGGCAGCACAATGAACGGCCTGGGAAAGCACACAGACATGAATGCTACAGTACACTAGCATCAAAATAACAGGTATACAGAAAGAGAGGGTGGGGGGAAGGGGGGTGCATATGTGTGAGAATATATATATATACACAGAGAGAGAGAGAAGGAAACAAGGAAAACGAAAGCATGGGAGAGCAAACTGGCTCAGCAAATTTCAAGTAGGTCTAAATCAAGATGTCTCACCCTGTCTCTGGAACAGGATTATTTCAAGAGTGAGATTTATGAGCCACACTCATTTATGGGGCTCCTGTGAGGTCAATTCACCCACCTGGCAAGCCCTCCCTCCCCCTCAATCCTTTGCACAGTGTATCCTGAAAAGAGGGCAGGAGCCTGGCACAGGAGCACGTCCTGCTCTGGCTGATGCGCTGGGCTGGGTGCGCTCCCCAGCTGCTTTGCAATAGGGACGGGAGAATGAACCAGGGCAAAGAGAGGGGATGCCCCCACCCCAGGATGCCAGGGATGGAGAGGTGATGCATGAGGAAGTCTCCAGCATCTCCTGCTGGTGCAATGCTTGCTTCATGCTCAGTGCTGAAAGCGAGGACCTTTACAGCTGATCCCTCTGTATTGTGGAAGTTATCAGTGAGCAGCATCAGAAACCAGACTGTTTCGCTTCACTTTTAAGCCTACCATTGCTTGTATCAAACCGCCACACCTTTGGGTACCAGCTGCTCTGCCACTTGAGCAAAAATACACAAAACCAACCCTCAAAGTGAATGGTGGGACTCTGGGCCACAGCCCCGACTTGAGCAAAGCATGGATGCTATCAGAGACATGGTCCTTCACTGCATAAGACCCATACAGCCCTATGTCTTAGCAGGAGCTGCCCGTGCCTTACGTGAAGCACACAGTTTGCCCCCATCTACACTAAAAATTATCTGGAGACCAAGAGAAAAACGCCAAACCTTAAAAAAGAACCATAGCTTCAAGTAGTAGTTCGGAGTTAAAAAAAAAGAAAGTGTCTGCAGCTGAATATCTTGGAAGGTCGCTGCCTGTTAGGTGAAGGTGGACAAAATCCCCAGAGCAACACAGGCTGCAGCAACTGCCCTCCCATCCCCAACAAGTTTTCGTGCCCGCTTCATCACCTAGCTGGGGTGCCCAAATTGGGTGTCTCTTCTGTGGCCGTACACAGCAGGCAAAGTCTGTCTGGGGAAGGGTAGAAGAAATCTCTCTTTATAAAAATACACTATAAAATTCTAAAAATTGTAAAATCGTTAAGAAATAATAAATCTGTCCAAGAGCTGCTTAAAAACTATGCTGAAGGTTCTCTATTTAGTCAGGACTGCTGGAAACTATTTAGACACAGTGAAACTGTTTCATCCACACTGTGAAGCAGATACCATGGCTAAGGGATGTTAACAGAGATTGCTATAATATTAAAAAAAAAAAAAAATGAAACTTGTAAATGACTACTGTCCTCAAGGAATGTCTGTAATTAACCTGCTCTTACCTTCTTCTTCTGAACCTTTTTCTTTTGTCTCATTTCCTATGTGGCTCCCTTTCCCCTCCTCTTTAACTGTATATTCCCATATTCCCTCTGTTTATTAGCTCAGTAGATCATCCTAATGCTGGAAACGTTCCTTTTAGTGCAGCACCATCCCCTACTACTACCAGCTCCCTTCCCTTCTACTCCTTTTCTTTGATATTGCTTTCCCTTACTTGCCTTCCCTTTTGTGGTCCCTTTTCTCGAAGCAGCAGGAGGGGGGGAAGTCTGGATTAGGTGCCCAGTAGGCAAATACTTTACATTTTAAATTTCTAACTTTACCCCAAAAGGATCTACCCTGAGAAAAATTATTTAAGATTCTGTTGATTCTGGAATATCCTTTTCCTATTTATAGCTCTTTATGCCATTTATTTCTCTTTTGAAGACTTGACTTTACATAGCTCTGATATTAATGTTCTTGAGGAGGGATGAGATATTTCACAAGTGCCGAAGGACAGAGAAGCCCTGAGGCCACTATCTCTCCCTGGGATGCCGGGTTCCCAAATCTCATAGGTGCTTAGATGAACAACCTCCTTTTGAAATATGACATCTTTGGCTGACTTGCCACTTTCATCATTATTCTATTCCAACACATCACCATCACCTCAAGACCAGGCTGCATTTGTTTCCAAGGCTTTTTGCTTTCCCTAGACCTGCCGCAGTCATTTAAGGAAGCAGATAAGGGCAGAACATCTTCTCCCACAGCTACTGTGGAAAGATTTCCATTTGTCATGAAGGTGACAGTGGTCAGAGAAGGGAGAGGGGAGAAGCTGGGGTGTATCTGCTCCTGGAAGGTGACCTGCTTCCCAGGCCACCTGTGACATGTGTCCTCAGAGCAGAAGGGACCCTCTCTCGCGGCATTAAGTAGCTGAGGACAAGTGTTCAGTGGGAGTTGTTTTCATCACTTGCTGAGCAAGCAGCAGAAAGGGAGCTGCAAATCACACTGGAAGTGTAAAAATCCATACAGTTACCCACAAAACTTGGTGCTAGGAAAAGAACTAAACGCAAACTCAATTTTCTGTTATGGTTTGCACGACTGAATGCAGTCTGGATCAGAGAAATGAAGATAGGCTGTACAGAGCCTTTCTATAACATCTGTCGGGCAAACAGAAAAGCAGAGGGACATGCTTGAACAGGGGACTTGGGGGTTCATGCTTTCTTCTCTCTCATGCAGGTCAGAAACTCACCCAGCAGAAAATCTGCCACCACAGTAAGAAGCAGAGCAGATAGGGGGTTCACGCTTTCTTCTCCTCTCTCATGCAGGTCAGAAACTCACCCAGCAGAAAATCTGCCACCACAGTAAGAAGCAGAGCAGATAATTGTACTATAAACTTGCCTTTTTTTTTTTCTTTCCTTTCCTGGTCTTGCAAACTTCAACAGAGAAATAGAAATGAACATGGCTATTTGGTGCAATAAATCCTGAAAGGGAAGAGAATCGGTGTTCGGTGGAAGTGGACAGATTTTCTCTAAAGGCCAATTTCAGTCCATACATAAGGACACGGAGTTCACTCAGAATATATCACATTCCTTTTTCTGAGACAAAAAAAAAACCAACCCCACATCACTGCGTATCTGAGCATGTCAGGGCATTTGTATTTTGAGAAGAGAACCAAATATGGTTGAGTGCAATAGGTTAAAAATACCCTTCAAGAGTCTATGCACCACGTGAAGGGGATTTTTTTTTTTTAAATGCTGTTTGTGTGCCAAAGGAGAAAGAGGAACACAAAGTTATAGGAAGGTGACAACCCACAAGACAATGTGGCATCAACAAGACATATTTCACTTTTCAAATGACACCATGCAAAAATGGGTTAGGCAAATGCATCACATCACTGGTACATACACTGATTTATCTCTGCTGCACAAAAGCAGGTAACAATCAGAAGAGTTCGGTACTTTTGTGCTCTAGAGCAGGCACATAGCAGATAAGTCACCTGGTTACACATTTTGGAAGCACATGCCTTAATTAAATTAATCCAAACACAGTAGGAATGTGCTGGGCTTGACTGCCTGAAGGATGTGGAAAGCCAGGAGTAGCTCGACTGCTGTAGAAGCACCGTACCAGGGTGCAGCTCAGCGAGTGCCCTGACCTCCTCCTCCAGCCCATCTCTGCACCCTACTTAAACACGTGCTCCCATCCCCTTTAATTCACTGTTGTTCAAAGTTAAGCATGAGCTTAAATAATGTCCCAAAAAGGAGGGATTTCAGCACAGGCTGAAATTTTCTCGAACTGTTATCTAAGGGGAAAAACATGCCAGATGGGGATGCAGGGAGAGGTCTCTGCACAGAGCAATCTCCGTCCCACGCAAAAGAGCTGTGAGGTGAGGGAGGGATAGGGGAGGACAACAAAAAGCAGATTCCAAAAGGGCTGGACCTTTCTGGGCACTGTCCCCTGGTCTTCAGCAACGGGACAGCTGGCTCCTCTTGGAGCATGCCCTTCCCAGGTCCCTGCTTGAACAGGGAACTATCAGCGCCCCACAAACCCTCACATCCCCAGTTCCTCCTTCCACACAATACCCCTCTCCATTCCCTCCTGCCACCACCCCTCTCACAGCTATTTCGGGATGGCTCCCAGCAACCCACGAGCTCCCGGGCCTTGCAGACATCTGCAGGCAATACTCAGCCGGCACCCCCTGCGAGGGACGACCACTCGCCTTCCCCTCCTCTCTTGGATATCACACGTCCTTCTCCGCATCGCCCCCAGATGTGGCAGCTCCCCGCTGGCACCCACCCATGCCTCTCCCCAGCACCCTCCTCTCTGGAGTGGGGTCAACGACCCCTTCCGCACCCAGACCTCAGACCTCGTTTTTTGTGGGTCTGATGTCTCTGGGGCACTCTGAATTACAAAATGGCTCATCAGGAAAGCAAACGTTATTGGGGGGCCTAAATGGAAGGCATAACCTGCTCCAATTGTGTCACTTTTTGCCCAAAACCCACGCTCCTCTTGAGATGTGTACAGCAGTCCTGGGGTGCCCACCATTTCCCTCCTTGGCTTGCTGGCATGCAGAGATACTAGAAGTCCCACCATGCATATGCAATAGCTTAGGCTTTTTCATTATCATTATTATTAGTGGCAGTATACCTGTATACAAACAGAAGGAAATATTGGATAGAAAAGCATGAGAAATGTGCACTGTAAAATGCAATAGCATGCTGCACTATTTTTGCATAGGTCTGCGAGGAGACCAGTGAAGCCCCTTTTTTGACACTACCAGCTGCGACGCTGGAGTTGCAAAGCACTAGGGCCAGCACTCCTACAAATCCCAGCTCTCAGTAACCCCTTGCCCTGGTTTTCCTCTGTCCCTACCACCTTTGCAGGGTACAGACTCTGCTGCCCACCGACCATGACTCCATGGTCCACCTTGCTGCCCAGTCCTTCAAGAGCAGAGCCGCCATGCACACTCACCCTCTTCTGCATTTCCCAGCAGGTTAAGCAGTTCTTCCTCTCCCCAGTCACCCCCTTTCCCTTGCAGAGAGTAATCCACCTTTTTTGG